GAGAAACAAGGGTCTAGCTTCAGTCTTCAGCATGTGGAAAGCCAGTTTTTCCAGCACCATTTACTAAAGATGCTTTCTTCCAGTGAAGGTGTTTGGCCCCTTTGTCAAAGGTAAGATAGCTGAATATACTTGGGGTTGTTTCTGCATCTTTTGTTCTGTTCCATTGATCCGTGGGTATGTTTCCTTGTCAGTACCATGCTGTTTTTTTATCACTATAGCTTTGTAGTATAACTTCAGATTGGGGATTGTGATGCCCCCTGCCTTGCCCTTGCTGCCCAAAATTGCTTTTGTTATTCAAGGTCTCTTCTGATTCCATGTGAACGTTAAGATTGTTTTCTCTAGTTCTGTGAGGTATGCTATTGGTATTTTGTATAACAGTTTTGGAAATATGGTCATTTTCATTATATTGGTTCTGCCTAGCCAAGAACAGGGGATGTCTTTCCATTTTCTAATATCTTCTTTAATCTCCAAAAAAAGTTTTGTAATATCCTGTGGGATCTGTGCTACTGTGAATTGTTACATGGTGGGCTGAGATTAAATGCACCTGAACTTAAAACCTGAGAAAATGTTGATAGTCAAGTAAGTTCCTGTAAACACCTACTCATTTGATCTATTTTTTCCACATCACATTTATAATCATTTTTAGTTCCCTGGCTCATTTTATATGATTTCTGTAAATTCTTTATTTAGAAATAAATACATATTGAGAGTGTTGGCCTAAGTGGAGAGAAAAAAAATTATACTGTGAAATTTGATCAAAAATATGGTGAAGGTTAAAAAATATTTTTCATAATTTATTACAGTAAAAGATACACTGTCATTCATCCCTGTCAGAATACTACTCCTCACTTCAAACACATTGAATCCATCATTCTTGCCACTTTCTGAAGCAGTTCTGGAAGCTTTTTTACCTGAGCATATTTAGTTGCACTGTTATTGTAACCTTGATGTTTTGAATCAATTCAGATCTTTACTTTTCACGGTTATTGTGTCTTTGGGAAAGAGGCAGAAGTTGCCTGGTGCCAGATCCAGTGACTAAGCCTGCCTTTCTCTTGGATGACACATGGTAGCAGAATTCACATCTTCTAAATCATATCTTTTTATCACTTCTTATAAATACACTCACAAAACAGGACTTCCAGAACTCCTTCAGAAAGTAGCAGTAGTGATGGAATAAGTGTGTTTGAAGAAAGGGGGCGTATTTTGAGGGGGATTAATAGCAATGTGCTTTTACTGTAATAAATTTTTAAAATTTAAACATTCACCATATATTTCAATCGCACCTTGTATATTCTGCATCGTTCAATGAAAACCTTTAAAAGTTATTCATAACCATTTGAAATCATTCATAATCAAAGTATAATTTGCTTCTCATTGAGAAATAGTCTGTCTAGATTGGAAGAAGAAACTAAAAAACTAATTATGTGGGGCTGGGAATTTAGCTCAGCAGTTCCGCTGCCTGCCTTGCAAGTTTAAGGTCCCGAGTTTGATCCCCGGTACCAAAAAAACCCCCCCAAAACAAAAAACTAATTATGTGAAAAGAATGTAGCAGTTCATGAGCAGAGGGCTAAAATGAATGCCAGATATCAGGAGTTTTAGGGATCTAAATTTCAGGGCTAAAGTGATCCATAGTAGGGTTTCTTTCTGAAGTGATGAAAACATTCTGGAATTACATCATGGTAATGGTTGCATAAAGTTATTAACCACTTACCAGTCCAATTATTTAAATACAGGATGACGACAACAGCGTATTTTTTCATTAATTTTTATAAGATAACATAACAGGAAATATAAAAAACTGACAATTTTATCAAGTTTATTCAATAGAAAAGTTGACTGGTTGAAATGACACTTGCCCGACCAATGCTTGGGATAGTCAGTACACTCTGAGTGACATTCAAGGTAAACTATTAAGAGGTTAATAAGCTAAAATTCACTGAATGGTATACTATGTTTATGGTATGTGAATTATATCTTAATGGAAAAAAAAAATGAACCCAACCACAAGATAAGTGGCAATTGAGGTCTCTTTAGCATGGAGTCAGTTCCCATCCAGGTTTAGGAGAATAGCTGTGTGTGGTGTAGTAGTGGGAAGCAGTAAAATATGTTACATGTAGGGGAACAGATTAAATAAGAATAAAGGGAGTGTGGTTTCTCACTATTGTAGAAATGACATACACCTTTGGGGAAAGAAATTCTAAAATTAACCTTATGATATTGAACTGGAATTAGAGATGTCACTGTGATCTCTGTCTCTGTCTGTCTCTCTGTGTAGGTTTAAAAATTAAAATAGAATGATATATGTGTATGTATACATACATTTGCACAGATACATATATACAAATACTGCCTGAGGGCCTAAGGAAGTGATATCCCAATAGCAATGAGCATACATAAGGACAGCTCTTAATAATCTGAATACCTTTCTCCCCTAGGAAGAACCAGGGCTTCTTGGAAAAATAAACTGATTCTATAGCTGAGACATGGAAAGAACAAGATGAGCCTGAAACATCTTGTGTTAAAAAGCAAAGAAGGGTTCAGAAAATGACAAGGATATGTTAAAAGGTCACAGGAGCCAAATTAAAAGGGTTTACCCTTGCCAAATCTAGAACGAGTTTGAATAAATACTGATAGTAACATATTATAATCCATTGGATAAGATAGTAATCAGTGAGTTCATTCTGCTGTGGATAGATGAGGTTAAAAATAATGAGTTTAGAAAAATTACTATTTGACAAGAACAGTAGTAGTTAATTCAAACAAGAAATATTAATGAAAGCTGAAAACTGGGCAAAAGTTTGTTGGAAGATTCAGACAGATTCTTGTGTACCAGTGTTCATGTTGTCATTATTTACAAAAACAAAAGATGGTAACAATCAGTATGTTCAACAACAGATTAATGAATAAAGTAAATGTGGTACATACATATAATAGAATATCATCCAGCCTTAAAAAGGAATGAGCCAGAGATGGTGGCATGTGCCTATAATCCCAGCTACTCAGGAGAACCACAAGTTCAAAACCAGCCTGCACAACTTAGCAAGATCCTGTTTCAAAATAAAATTTTTTAAGTTTTCATAAAAGGACTGGGGATGTGGCTCAGTGGCAGAGTACTTGCATAACACGTATGAGGCCCTGAGACTAATCCTAAGTATCATAAAAAGAGAGAGAGAGAGAGAGAGAGAGAGAAGAAAGGAAAGGAGGGCTGGGGAGTTGGCTCAGTGGCTCCCATGCCTGTGTTGCAATTGCAAGGTCCTGTGTTCAATCCCTGGTAAGGAAGGAAGGAAGGAAAGAAAGAAAGAAAGGGAAAGGAATAGAATGGAACTGAAGGAAAATTTAATATATATTGTAATGTGATAAAGCTGGAGAGCATGTACTAAATGAGATAAGCCAGATATAAAATGACAAATATTGTAAAATTCCATTTATACCCAGTCGAGTCAAATTTATTAGAGGTACAAAATAGAATAACAGTCACTAGGTTGCTAGTGAGAGTAAGAAATGGAAAGTTATTGTTTAATAGGTATAGAGTGTTTTGGAAATGATGAAACATTCTGAAAATGGATGGTGGCAGTATGAATGTTCTTAATGCCAATGAATTGTAATGCTTAAAAAGGTCAAATTTTACTACAAAAATATGTTGAAGAATGAGACATTTACATAATTTCAGTCCCTACTCCCAACAAAATGCTTATTAATTACAAAGGGAAAGATAATTTTAGAGTGGAAAAATCTGGCAGACACTGCCATCTAAGTGTCTAAGTGATCAAAGTTAACCTAGCAATACCTTTATGATATTTCTGCCAAAAATGCAAAACCTGAACAAAATTGGGAGGTAAATTCTGCTGAACATTGTATAAAACAACTGGCCTATCATTCTTAAAAACATCAAGAAAATTAAGACTAAGGAACTATTTCAGATTAAAAGAGGTGAAAGAAGACTGATAACAATAAAATGCACTATCTTGAATGCACCCTTTTGTGAGGAAGGACACTATGAGCAAGAATTTGGGGTCTGTAGATAAGGTCATAATGTGAAATGTTAGTTTCCTCATTTCTATGCTGGTAATTTGAGTTATGTAAAAGAGTTTCCTTGTTTATAAGAAATATATACCTTCAGAGACATTAATAGCTAAATGGATGCACATTGAGGCCATACTCTTAAGTGAAATAAATAGGACACACATGTGTAAATACTGAATACTTTCTCTGGTGTGAAAAACTGAAAGTGTAAATAAGGTTCAAATGATATAATTGATAATGTGAAATAGGAAGAAAAGGTCTAAAGGAGGAGGGGAAGTGGAAAGGGTAGGAGAAAGGAAAAGAAAAAATATGAGAAAAGGAAAGAATGGAAACAAAATCTTTGTAAATAGGGAAGGGTGGAAGGGATGAAGGGAGAGCAGGGGAATGGGGAAAAAATAAGAACCAAGATACATCATGTGAAGGTACAAGAGCCCAACAATGAATGTAACTGTATTGTATACCTAAAATGCACCAATAAACTTCATGGAAAAAAAAAAGAAATATATACCTTCAGGGGATAATGGGACATCATGTCTGTAACTTTCAAATGGTTAAGGAAAACAGTGTCCTTTGTCCTAAAACTCTTTTAAAGTCTTAAAACTTTAAAGAATTTGAAATTATTTCAAAAGAAATTTTTAAAACAGTAATAAAAGAAACTGAAGAGATTCTTATCTGAGAACTAAATCTCAAGACTAGGACTATATTCAAAAACTGGCAAAGAAATTGGAACCTTTTTCTTTGTGGCAAGTTATAAAAACATTCTCTCAAGATCAGGTGTTTCCAGTAGGGAAAGTGAGGATAATCTCAGTAGATCATTCATCAGTGAAAATAGAGAAGTCAGCTTATAGACTGGACCTTATAAGTTTGGACTTAAAAATTGAAACTAAACAAATGACCAAACTGAATGTAAGAATACTTGTGGAACTAGAACATTTTATTTTGAAAGATTCATGTTTTGCGATGCCTTCTTATTACAGGTGATGCTGAACAGGAACTTGGCCCCCCTCCATCTGTAGATGAGGCAGCGAACACACTCATGACTCGTCTTGGTTTTCTCCTTGGAGAAAAAGTCACGGAAGTTCAGCCAGGTGACCAATACAGCATGGAGGTACAGGACGAAAGTCAGGTAAGCTGCGTGTGCTAACTTTGTGAAACATGGTATGAATCAGCATATTATATCAGAAAAAGAAAAATAGAATATGTGTGCGTGTCCATTCTAAGAAGGATAATCCCAATTGTTGAATGTCTTTTGAGGCTTGAAATCTAACTTAATTTTCCATAATCACTGTATTTCTTCAGTTTATGAAACATCTTTTAGTTTCATTCTTAGGTTTAAAAGCAGAAAATATACTTTTAGTCTTTGGTTCATTTATTAAATGAATGAATCAATCAATCAATAAATAAGCTATCAAACAAAAGTGACATATGAGCACTACACCCAGAAATTATATAGAATACAATTTTCAAGTGCACATGGATCATTTACCATATTCGTAATATACCGAGCCATAGAGCAGTTCTTGACAAATTTCAAAAGGTTTCAATTACTGTGACCATATTAATTACAAAATGATAGATTAGAAAATTATACCTAGAAAATCTACATATCTTTCAGTTTAAGTAAAACACTTCTGAATACCTTTTGAGTCCAAGAAATCACAAGAAATTAGAAAATATTTTAACTGCAATAATGAAAACTAAGCATAACAAAACTTATAGTATATTGGGCCAGGGATTTAGCTCAGTGGCTCCACCGCCTGCCTCGCAAGCGCAGGGTCCCAAGTTCAATCCCTAGTACCAAAAAAATAAAAGGATATAGCTAAAATTTGCTCCAAAAAGTTGGTTTTGAATGCATATATTTAAAAAAGTAGAAAACCTGAAAAATTAATAGTCTGTTCATCTGAGAAAGTTTTAAAATATGAGCATTAAAAATTATTTAATTTTATTATTAGTTTTCTTTCTTTTGGCTATTTCTATTCCTTTCCATTTAAGTGTGGTGAAAAAAGGGTACTACAGTCATTCATGTATGTGTTCTTAATGCTTATGTGAATGTCTTCTTGTGAAGCATTTTACTTAGATGACAAAAATTAATTCCAAATTGCATATTCTTTACTAATATATATTGGTGGTTTCTGTCATAAATTAATTTGGTTATAATAAATGTTTGAGGCTAATTTCAATATATTTATATGTCTTGTGGATAATGTTTAAGTATTCCATCACTCTACCCCTCAGGTCTCTATTTTCATCCTAAACACCTGTGTCATTGGTATCTCTGACTACACATTACAGTCACCTGGGAAGCTTTTATTAAATATAGAGGCCTGGTGACTCTAATCCTGTTGTTCTCCTTAAGTCTTATTTCTGTAAATACTATCTTAACTTTGGAATTATCTCTAGTTTCCTTAACTCTAGATCTGTGTATTCAACTGCCTGCGTTATGTTTTCTACCTGTATGTTTAAGATAATCTCAGTATACCAAAAATTTAACCTTTGCATTTTCTCCCAGAACCTCCTCATTATTTAGGGCTCCGTAGATGAGTAAATGGTATCCCCTACTTTCTTAAAACAAAAAGCCATTCTTGATTTCTCTCTGTCGAACTGCCCATTCACTCTTTTAGGAAATCATAGACTCTTGTATTCAGAATATATACTAAAATCTTTTATCTGTTGCCTGCACTACTGTGATATCTACAGATGTGATATCTCAGAAGGCCTGAGACTTTGCCTGGTTTATTCATTGCTATACCCTCTGCACCTAGAACAGTATTAAACATTAGTAGGCGCTAGATACTGACTGCGTAAATAAACGAGCTCCTAGTAGGTCTCCGCTTCCCCTCCTGTCTCCCTGTATTCTATTCACATAGTAGCCACAGTGATCCATATAAAATGTGAATATGATTCTGTCTTTCTCTGCTTTTAATCTTTCATTGTATTCCCATCACACTTAAATTCTAAAATCTTCATCGTAGTCAGGAATCCCCTACCTGATCTAGCCCTTGCTACCTCTCCTTCATCATTTTCTACCCCACACTCTCACCCACCCTCCAGCCACGTTGGACCTCCCTGTTGTTCCTGAACACATAAAGCATATTCATTTGTATTGGGATTATCTTCCTGTATAATTCACGTCCTCGCTTCACTAGTCCTCTGTTCAGATATTATCACTTGAGATGTTTTCCTTAAGGAGTTTACCAAATAGTACCCACCCATCACCATGACCATTTACCCTATGGTTTATTTTCTTCAAAGCTCTCATCATTAACTGATGGAATATTACATGTTAATTGTGGGCTTTTTGTCTGTATCTCATAAAAGAATGTAAATTTCACAATGGAAAGACTGATGACTTTTTTCCCCAGTACTGGGGATAAACGCAGGACTTTCACATTGAACTACATCCCCAGCCTTTTAAAAATTTTGAGACAGAATCCCACCATATTGTCCAGGCTTGATTCAAACTTGCAGTCTTCCTGCTTCATGCTCTTAGAATGCTGGAATTACAGACATGCAGCTAAGACTGATGACCTTTTACAATGTAAATTTACATTGTAATGTCATCATACCTGTACTCTGTGAATAAAAAACAGGAAAGACTTATGTTCAGGGCTTTTAAATATTGGTATAGATAAAAACATCTTTTTTTTTTTTTTTTTTTGGTACCAGGGATCGAACTCTGGTCCTTGTGCTTGTGAGGCAGGTGGTGGAACCACTGAGCTAAATCCCTGGGCCTGTATTTCATTTCTTGATATTCATGCCAAATTAATGTATGACTGTTCCTGCACACCTGTATTCCCAGCACACTGGGAGGCTGAAACAGGAGGAGCACAAGTTTTAGCCCAGCCTGGACAACTTAGTGACTTAGGAAGAACCTGTCTCAAAATTAAAAATAAAAAAATAAAAAGAGGCATGACCAGAGATTTGGCTCAGTGTAAAGGCCTTGGTTTCAACCCCTATACAGAGAGAGAGAGAATAAATATCAAAGACAGAGGAAAAGAAAGAGATTGATAAATCTAATAACTACCCAGTAACATAATGTAAGTCTCTTAACATTAATATTTCCCTAGGACTTCATTCATTCTACAAAGCAACATTTCTTCAGATGATAAAATTTATGCTTGTTGCTTTTGAGATTCTTCATGTCACAGTATATCAATGATTTCTAATAAAGTTCCAAGTCTGTATATGTGCCTTACTTGTAAATTTACTGAATAAAAGAATTTAAATGAGTAATACCTTGATTTAATATAATGAAGGCACTATGGTATAACAAAAAAGGACTTTGAATTACGAGGTAGAAAACTTGTGTTTTAGTTCCAATTCTGTCACCTACCATTTTACAAATTTTTACCTATCACTTAATCTCTCTGATCTTCAGTTTTTTCATAGGCAATAGTGACCAACAGTTATTAAAGACTTTCTGATAAATGATTTACTTGCACTTTTTTTCAAAACTAGGTGTATGTCCCAGGCCTTAGGCATGATAGGCGAGTACTCTACCATTAAGCTAAATCCCTAGTTCTTCTTCCACTATTTTGTTTAGGGTTCCTTACAACACATTATGGTACAGTTCATTCACATTCCTATAAGATAACAGATCTGTTTTCAGGTAAGAAAACAGAGACACATTGACAGAAATTGATGGAATGATGTACATATCCAGGCAGTCTACTTTTATAATCTGTGTTCTTAAACAGCTGCACCATACTCTTCTAGTGTAATATAAAGTAATACCTGACAAGATTGTTGTGAGAATCAAATTAGTTTATGAATATAAAAATACTTTGAAAGCTTTTAAATGTCAAATAAATAAAAGGTAAAAAATGTATAATAAAATTAGTATATAATTATATGCAGACCTGCCTGATATATGGGGAAATTACTTCATTCCTTTCATATTTTTGAAGATTTCATTTTCACATTTCTTAAATGGAGGTAGGTAGTAATATTCTTTATGATTCTCATCAAAGAATAGACTTCTGTGTATTAGAAGATCCTATGATGATGATATCCTCAGGATAGTAGTAGTGATAACAGAATCTAATGCAAACAAGTTATCATACATCATTTTTCTGCAAAAGACAAAAGTATTAAGTTACATTCAACTGACCACTTTTTCTGTCAGTAGGTTCTAGGGTGTTAGGATGGACCTTAGGTATCCCAGCTTAGGTTTTTTTAAATTCCCAAAGGTGATTCTGCTGCATGCCTATTTAAAAATTGTCCTGATATACCAACAGCATTTTATAAAAATGGAGATTACAGAGAAACTGAGATTTCTTTCTCTCCTGGATAGATATTATATAATAAAAGAAATCTGTGTATTCTATTTGCTTATTAGGTTATTTTTTAAGAATCAGTTCCTAATATTAATACAATTGAAAGTATTTGTTTAGTTTTAGGCTAATAAGAATGTCACTTGTTCTTAGTTGAGTGAAGTGTGTCTTATATGACCTAGGAATAGTATTCAAACTAAAGTAAAAACTGGGTTGAACATAATGATTATATACAAGGGATTGAATCTTGAAATTACCATAGAAAGAGTTTAAGCATCTTAATTTTCTCACAGCTAATAATTTAACACATTCTTCTTATTAAGTGTAAGTCCTCAATTTTAGCAGATAGAATGTGACCACTCTGTATGTAAAGAAGTAAGAAGGTTTCTTTTAAATTTAATGTTTAAGCATGTTAAAATTATCATCAATCCTTCAAGTAATTGTTTTACTGATCACTTAGCATTTTGAAAAGTATAAAATTTCCTTAGTATTTGACAAAAGTGTACTTTTATTCACTATTTCAGTAATTGAGTAGAAAGAGCAAAAGAAAAATACAAGATATGGTTGTATCTGTCTGTAATTAGTTTTTACAGAGAAATTTAGTTTTATTAAATTAATATTGTTTTATCTGTTTTATTGGATAAACTAAGAAATTTTCCCTGTAATCATTTAGTGTCTCTGAGCAGTTGCTTTTGTATCAAAAAAGACATTTCTTTGTATTAAGAACTTTATTTTTGTTTCTTCCTAGTTGCAGAGGTATTATTTTTTCCTACCAAAGAAAATTAGCAAAGTTCCAAGCCATCTGAAAAGTTTTATCAATTAGAAATAGCAAGGGAAATTTGTGCTTGATAAGAAATTTCTGTATTCTATTAGTGAATGATAATGTAAAGTACCTCTTGGTTATGTTAAATTCATCAAATTTCATCTTAATTGTAGAACCCTCCTGGAAAGCAAAAACAAAACCTAATAGATGTAAAAGCTGTACCTGTGGAATATTTATTCTTTTTTATCAAAATATTACTTTACCATAAGATATACTTTAACAACTGACCGATTTATCTTACTTCACTTGATTCTGATTTTTCAGACCTCAGCAATCACTCAGCGGATAAGTCCTTGTTCCACTCTGACTAGCAGCACTGCCTCTCCACCAGCCAGTAGCCCTTGCTCTACTCTCCCACCAGTCAGTACAAATGCAACTGCCAAGGATTGTAACTATGGGGCTGTTACTAGTCCAACCTCCACTCTTGAAAGCAGAGATAGTGGCATCATTGGTAAGTTGGTTTTTATGTTAATCATTTTATGAATTTTAAAAAGATAAGTTTAAGACTTTTCAAAAGTTTACTTCTAAAAGTTTGTTGTTGTTTTTTTACTAGTACATGTTTCTTGTACATAATGATTACATTTATCATGGGGACTTGGTACATGTACATAACATGTCTTAATTCTTTTATCATCCCTACCCTTCTTATCCCTCCCTTCTCCTTTCAAATCTTGGTCCCCTTCTCATTTGCAGCAGCTCTGTTTCCACTTGTTTTCTTTAATTCTTTTTTTTATCCCCTCCTCCTCTCTCCACTCACCTTCTTTTGTTCCCCTTCCAATTTGAAAAAGATCTTCTGACTTCCTATTATTTGTCTTTTTTTTTCTCTTTATTTATATTTTGAGTGTCTCATATAAGAGAAACCATGTGATATTTAAGTTTGTATATCTGATTTATTTCACTTAATATGTTCTCAGGGTGTATTCATTTACCTACAAATGCCTCAAGTTTATCCTTTATGGCAGAGTAGTACTCCATTAAAAATACCACATTTTCTTTTTCTGTTCATCTGTTGATAGGCATATAGACCATTTTGGAAATTTAGCTACTATAACTTGTGCTGCTGTATACATGGGTATGATTGTATTACTGTAATATGATAACTTTAACTCTTTTGGAAAGATACCTAGAAGGAGAAAATCTGGATAAAATAGTTTTAGTGTTTTAAGGAATCTCCATACTGATTTCCATACTGGTTGTACTAGTTTACATTCCCAGCAATAATGTAGAAAGTTTCCTTTTTATCCTTCAGTCTGCCAGCATTTGTTATTATTTGATTTATTGATGATAGCCATTCTTTCTGGAATAAGATGTTATCTCAGGGTTTTTTAAATTTGAATAGCTAATGCCCAGTGATGTTGAACATTTTTTCATGTTTTTATTGGCCATTTGTACTTCTGAGAAGTGTAAATTCATTTTGGTTGCCCATTTTTTGGATGGGACTTTTATTTTGAGGGTTCTAATTTTTTAAAATCCTTTATATGTTCTAGATGTTAGTCCTATGTCTGAGGAATAAGTGGCAAATATTTTTTCCCATTCTGTCAATTGTCTCTTTACTCTGATTTTTTTCTAGGTGTTCAGGAGCTTTTTAATTTGATATGATCCCATTTTTGATGATTGATATTATTTCTTGTACCACTGGGGTTCTGTTCAGAAAGTCCTTGCGTATGCCTATGTCTTTAACAATTTTACCTGTTTTATCTGCCAGCAGATATTTTGTTTTCACATTTAGATCTTTGATCCATTTTGATTTTAGTTTAGTACACGGTGAGGTATGTGGATCTAGATTCAGTCTTCTACATGTGGATATACAATTTTCCCAGGACCATTTATTGAAGAGGGTAATGTTCCTCCAGGGTATCTTTTGATCCCTTTTTCAAAGATCAAATAAATATGCCTGGAGTTGTTTCTGCATCCTGTGTTCTGTTCCATTGATCCACATGTCTGTTTTTGTACCAGTACCATGCTGTTTTTATTACTGTAGCTTTGTAATATAACTTCAGATCTGAAATTGTGATGTCTGCTGCTTGGCTTTTGTTACCCAGGATTGCTTTTGCTATTTTTGGTCTGTTCTGGTTCCATATGGATTTTAGGATTGTTTTTTCTAGATCTGTGAGGAATGCTGTTGGTATTTTGATTGGGATTGCATTAAATCCATATATCAGTTTTGGAAATAGAGCCATCTTGACTATATATTGGTTCTGTCTATCCAGTAACATAGGATGTCCTTCCATTTTCTGATGTCTTCTTTGATCTATTTCAGGTTATGTAATTTTGAGTGTAGAGATCTTTCACTTCCTTGCTTAGTATTTTATTTTTCTTGATGTTATCGTGAATGCTATTGTTTTCCTAATTTCTTTCTCAATGTGTTCAATATTAGTGTATAGGAATCCTATTGATTTTTGTGTGTTGATTTTATATCCTGCTACATTGCTGAATTTGGTTATTCTAGAAGTTTTTTGGTGGAATTTTTTGGGTCTTAGAAGTAGAGGATCATGTCATCTTCAGATAATACTTGGACTTGTTTCTCTCCAATGTTCCCTTTTATTTCTTTCTCTTACCTGAGACTCTGATTGTGTTGAACAGGAGTGGTCCTTGTCTTTCCTGATTTTAGAAGGAATCCTTTTGGTTTTCCACCATTCATTATGTTGACAGTTTTTTGATGCTGTTCCATTGTGTTTACCAGTATCTTGTTGATTACATCTATGCTCATTAAAGGTCAGTCTTCTTTGATCTTTCTTTTTTGGTTAGATCCTTGTCTGGTTTTGTAATCAGGGTAGTGCTAGCTTCCAGGAATAACTTTGAGAGTACTCTTTTCTCCTTCAGTTTCATTAAAGAATTTGAGGAGAGGAGTCTTGGCATTAGATCTTTCTTGAAGTTCTTGTGGAATTCGGCACTGAATCCATCAGGTCCTGGGTCCTCAAAACATACCTGGTAGGTTATTACTGCTTCAGTTTCATTGCCTTTTATTGGGCTATTTAGGATTTTTAAGTCTTTGTGGTTCAGTTTTGGTAATTCAGTGTACTAGTAGGAATCTCTATTTCTCCCAAGTTCTGCAATTTATTGGTGTACAGATTTGTGAAGTAGCTTCTGATAATTTTCTGGATTTTGGCAATGTCTGTTTGATTTCACCCTTTTCATTTCTAATTGCGTTATGTCTTTCTTTCCTTTTTTTGGAAAGATTGGCTAAGGGTTTGCCTGTTTTGTTTATTATTTCAAAGAACCCACTCTGATTCATTGATTTTGTTTTTGTTTTTGTTTTTTGTCACTATTTCATTGATTTCTGCTCTGCTCTTCCTTCCCAGTACTAGGTCTAGATTTAGATTGTTCTTGTTTTTGTAGGACCTTGAGTCACATCATTAGGTTATTTATTTGAGCTCACTCTGTTTTTCTGATGTGGGCATTCACAGGTGTAAACTTTCCTTTTAAGGGCTGCTTTAATTGTGTCCCATAAATTCTTGTTTGTTATATTGGCATTATCATTTCATTCTAGGAACTATCTTATTTTTTTACTTAATTTCTTCTGTGACCCATTGATTAAGAGTGTATTATTTAATCTCCATGTATTTGTATAATGTCTGTGCTTTCTCTTACCATTGATTTTTAGTTTCATTGCACTATGATCTGATAATATACATAGTAAAATTTCAATTCTTTTCCGTTTACTTCAGCATGCTTTGTTGGTTAATATGTGGTTGGTCTGTTTTGGAGAGAGTCCATGTGCTGCCAAAAAGAATGTGTATTCTGTTGTTAAGTGGAACACTCTCTATATATCTATTAACACATTGCCTCCAGTTTGAACCACCAGTGGTGTGTACATGACTGTCCCATCAAGCAGTATGAACCACCAGTGGTTAGCTATTTAACATCAGATGGTGGAATTCAAATTAGAACTGCCCAGCAGTGAGACATACACCATCATAAAATTTTAAGTCCATTTGTTCTAAGGTTTGGTTCAACTCTGATATTTCTTTGGTGATGTTTTGTTTAGTTGATCTATTTATGATGATGGGATATTGAGGTCCCCCACTGTAATTGTATTGATGTTTCTCTGATCTATGTCCATTAATGTTTGTTTCATGAAATCGGCCGCACCTTTTTTGGTGAATATATGTTTATAATTGTTATCTCATCCTGTTGAATATTTCCTTTAACTAATAGGAAGTGACCTTCTTTGCTTGTTCTGATCAGTTTTTGCTTAATGTCCACTTTATCTCAACATAGGATAGCTACTCCTGCTTAATTTGGGGTTATTGTTGCATGGAATATTGTTTTTTATTCTTTAGTTTTTAGTCTGTGAATTTTGGGTGAGTTAAATATGTCTGTTGTATACAATATAACTTTGTGTTTTCTTTCTTGATTCATTCTGCCAATCTGTCTTTGTATTGACAAATTGAGACAATTCACATTGATAGTTACAACTGATAGATATTGACTTATTCCTATTAATTGTATTGTTTTCCTGCTTCTGATTCTTTTTCTTTCCCTCCTACCAAATTGCTTCCCCTGCCTAGTGCATTCATTTTATTAGACCTTTCGGCATTGTTAGCTTCATTGTCTCTTTCTTCAAATTTTTGAGAATTTTTTGGAGTGCTGGTTTGGTGGTCATGAATTTCTTTGGGTGCCCTTTTTAATGGAAATGTCTTATTTCTCCATCAATCTTAAAAGATAATTTTTCTAGGTTTCTGTCTGCCTTGGAAGTTGTTTTCTTTTAGGGCTTGAAACACTTCACTCTCTCCTTGCCTTTAAGGTCTGTGTTGAGAAGTTTGCTGTAATTCTGATGTATTTTCCTTTGATTTGCTGCTGTTTTTTAACAGCTTTTAAGATTCCATTTTTGTGCTGGATTTCTGATATTTTAACTATGATGTGTTATGGAGTGTTTCACTTCTGATCATTGCTCTTTGGCCTTCATATGCCTTGTCTGTATGTTAAATTCTTTTTCTGTGTTTGGAAAGTTTTCTGCTACTACTTCTGTAAAAAATTTTTTTTATGTCCTTTGTGCTATCTTCTGATTTTTTTACTAATTCCTGTTAATCTTAGTCTAGCAGCCTATTAGATCCGTTTTTCATGTTCTCTTGTTTTTCAAGTAGCTCTCTTGCCACAGGTGGTGGCCCATGCCTATAATCCCAGCATTTGAAAGACTGAAGCAGGAGGATCATCTCATGTTTGCAGCCCACCTAGGCTACTTAGTGAGTTCAAGGCCAGCCTGAACTATGTACTGTGATGCTGTCTCCAATCAATCAATCAATCAATCACAATGAATAAAATAAAGTATCTCTCATTGATTGATCACCAGCCACAGCCCTGTCTTCTAGATATGACACTCTGGCTTGACATTGGTTACTTCTGCTGTACATACTTTCAGTAGCATTTTGAATCTCCTGGATTTGTATTTGGAGACTCCATTTTTTTTTTTACTTCTGTTCTTTTCTCTACTAGATATTCATGTTTTGC